GGGTGCCCCTCTCTGGATCTGGCTTCAGGAAAATTCCTACATTTTAGAATCATATTACAACAACTTTTGCCCTCCATTCATTTCATTTAATGGAAATTGAAAGGAAAAGTATTATAAAGAGATCCATTATTATTAAAATCAATTATGTAAATAAACTGAGTTTTTGTGTCTCATTCCTTAAGTATAACATCCCTTAAATATACTGTCTCTGTAAATAAATTTGCTTTTGTTTTGTTGTTTCTGTTTTGAAGTATAGCCCTCTTCAACACTCACCTTTTGCGAAAAGCAAAAAAAAAGACATAAATTGAGAACAAGACTTTAAACCTCTTCCCAAGCTGCCCGTTGTCTTGTTTCATTACTTTTTTCCTCTTATTTCCCATGCATTTTTCTTCAACAATCATTCAAGAGCTAAATCTGCAAAGAACTGCCATTAAAATGAGGTTCCCATCTTACAGGCTTGAAAGTAGTTACCTGATTAAACTACATGCCTGAAGTTCATAAAATCAAGGTCACAATGTGATCTTCAGACATACAGATGGTTTTTATGATGGCACTATGGTTTTTTTACAGTATTTTCATCCTCTTGGACAAAGACAGTACTGTGTTCCAGACCTCAAAGGTCTAAGACATCAAGAAAAATTAAACAGTGGAATAAGTTAATTTTACTTTCAAAATGTTTAACATAACATCCACTTTCCAATTTCTTATGTAAAATCATGGTTTGGCCTTAGGCAAGTCTAAAGCCATGCTCAGTAAAGTCATGTGAAGAAACTTTCTATTCCTTCACTCTTACACACTGAAGGGGATGCATATGAGATGGTGTGACAACAGGGAGCCTGTCCAACAAGAAGCTGAACAGCTTCATCTCTTATACACAGAAGAATTCACACTTTGTTGGACTGAAATATCAAGACTTCTGGCTACAGAAAGAATAAAGGGGTTGATAGAAGGATTTAACAAGGTGTTAAATCGGTGAATATGTCTATCTGTACTTAAAACAAAAACAAACAAACAAACAAACAAGCTAGTAAAGACTGATCTAAATGACCTTATTTAGAGATTCAAAGTAAGAGATTCAGAAAGCTCTGAATCTCACACAAAGATAGACAAGGCAGGATTGAATAAAACAGGGTAACATAGAAGGACTACAGAGATACTTTTCACACTGTAGAGAACAAATTCATGGGGCCAAAACTCAATTAAGGTTCAAACTCAATAGCACTGTGAAGGACAGCAAAAGGGGCTCTTTTGTTAAATATGTAAACTGAAAAAGAAGAGATAATATTGGTCCATTATTTGATTAGGTCATCACCTCAAAAACAAGATGTACACAAGGCAGAAGCATTTAATGCCTTTTTTTTCCTCTTTCTTTAACACCATTGAGTTCTGAGCTTGGTTTTGGAAGACTGTAATTAGAGAAATTATAAACTCCCAGCTGACTCGGAATTTTCTGGGGGCTTGCTACCTCAGCTGGATTCACATAACTTTATGACAACCACTATGACCATGCCAGTATAGTGAAAAAGCTGTCCAATGTCATTGCAGAACCTCTCTCCACTATTTTTCAACAGTCTTATGAGTATAGAGAGGTCCCAGTAAACTGAAAGCACAGTAAATGATCTCCCAGTTTTCAAGAACTGTAGGCGGGGAGACTCTGGTAATTACAAGCCTGTCAGTTTCACTTCAGTGACTTGTAAAATTTTTCTGGTAGTTAGTGAAAAACACTCGAGATACAATACAGTCATTGGCCACAGCCAGCACTGGTTCTTAAGGCAAAAGTCCTGCTTCACTACACTAGTTTCCTTTTAGGACAAAGTCACCCATCTACTTTTCCAAGGAAAGACAATAGATGTGGGCTCTTCAATTTAAACAAAGCTTTTGATATGGTCTCTCACAGTGTCCTTGTGGACGAAATGTCCAGCACACAGCTAGTCAAGTTCATAACATGTTGGGTGAGCCATTAGCTGATGAGTCAGTCAATGAGGTCATATCAGGCTAGCAGCCAGTCACCAGTGGGTTCCCCAGAGTTCAATTTTAGGGCCAGTGCTCTTCAGTAGTTTTATAAATTACCTGGATGCAGGAATCTAATGTACACTGTTTGCCAGTTATACTACAATAGGAGGAACTATGAAATCCCTCAAGAGTAGAGAGGTCTTACGGAGAGATGAGGATAAAGTAGAGAACTGAGTGATCACCCAGTGCATGAAATTTGACAAGACTAAGTGCCAGATTCTCCACCTGGGACAGAGTAATCCTTCCTATACATAATTGATGGAGAGACTGGAGAGAAGCGTCAAAGAAAGAGATTTCTTGGTTTGGGTAGATAGCAAGTTGGATATGAGTCAACAATGTGTCCTGGTGGCGAAAAGAGCCAGACGTATCCTGTGGTGCCTCAAGCACAGCGTTTTCAGCTGGTAGAACGAGGTGATTGTCCCACCCTACAGTGTGCTGGTGGAGCCCATCTCAAGTCCTGTGAGCATTTCTGGGCCCCTCAGTAAAAGAAGGACATCAGACTATTACAGTGTATCAGACTATTAGAGTGACCAAGGTGGTGACAGGCCTCGAGGACACGGCATACGAGAGCAGCTGAGGTCACTCTTTGTTCACCTTGGAGACGAGAAGGTTGAGAGTTGTCCTTACCAGACATTTCAGCTTCCTCATGGAGGACGATCTGTTTTTTCCTATGCAAAAGGACACGAGGAAACAGAGTGAAGATTCATCAGGGGAAATTCATGTCGAACATCAGGAAAGTGTTCTTTGTCAAGAGAGAGGTTGGTCACTGGAACAGGCCCTCCATAGAAGTGATCACAGTGCCAAGCTTGTCAGTGGCCAAGCGTTGTCTGGGTGACACTCTGTCAGATGTTTTAGTTTTATGTAATCCTGCAAGGAGCAGGGAGTTGAACTAGATGATCCTTGTGGGCACCTTCCAACTTAAGAGATTTTATGATTCTAAAATTAAGGTAGAGGAGCTGAACCACAGATAAAAATGAGATTTGCTTACTGTTTATTGATTTTGTTTCTTTAAAAATAAACCTGTTTCCTTGAAATACTTATTAATTTAGCAAATTGACAACACTGAAGATTTAGCAAGGTGACCATAAATAGGAATATCTTTATCTTTGCAATTCAAGAGTATACCCATGGACTTGCTGTTACACTGATGTAAGGCCAGTGAGGTAAGAATCAGGTCACCAGACTGTAAAGCATAAATTCATGAACACATAGGGTACATTATGTTGTTTACTTTCTGAATGTTGCTTATATAGAATAACAGAAAGGGTTTCTTTCCATTATTTTTGGTTATTTACAGTAGGATTTGGGGAACTTTTTATTGCTATGAACTTTTTTTTTTTTTTAAACTAGCATAAAACTTTGGACTATTTCTTCTTATAGTTTCATTTCTAAAACTTTGATAATTCAGGTTACCTGAAATATTTTTGAAAAATAATATTAATTTTTCATATTTTTTAAAAAATATGTTCAAAAATAAAGTTTGAATATAGTTGAATCATGACTTTTTTAGTACTTCTTGTCTAATAAAGAATTGTCCTTTTATAATTCAATGTCCTACCAACAACAGTGATATAAACTGGGGCTTTTACTTATCAAGGCATCCATAGCTAATAGAGGAAGAACTTCAGTGGGTTTCTTACTAATCTACAGAATGGCATAAACAGTATTAATTTGAGACTATATAGAAACTGGTCTTTAAATATCCATATAATTGTAGGACATATTTGGTAGTCGTGACACTAAGAAGGAAGATTATGATTTTGTGTGTGTGGCTGCTTTGTCTTTCTTTCCTAAAAAAATATTGACGGGGTTTTTGTCATCTGAACTAAACCTTATTGGTAAATATAAGAGAAAAAAATGTCTTTGGACTTTTCTGACACAAAGGACTTCCAGATGATTATAGTGACCCAATAAGGGTCCTGGTCTAAAATCACTGCACTTCTAAGATTATCAGATACATTTGTGGATTTATTTCTTGACTGTACTAAACCCTTGCAAAGTTCTCTGATCAATAAATCTTAGATTTTAAAGTACTGATGAGATCATTTTGCAGAGACCATCCAGTTTGCTGTAACAACATTTTGTTTTCCCATGCTCACAACACTACTTTTTGTGATTGTAGATGCTATACAGGACCTGGCACCCAGGGTTGGTGGCCTCACCCTCTCAGCCTCGACAGGCATCTGCTGTAGCTCCACGGATGTAGCTGTTTGCACCTTTGCTCCTAAAAGGTTTTTCAGTGCTGTGACAGGTGTACGCAGCAGCACCATGGGACAAGGACCTGATTACAGGACACATGCAGCACTGCTATCTACACGGCCAACATGTGCCTTGCTATCACAGCCACAGGCTCCGGTCGCAAACTTTGCCTTTTACAGAGGACGAGGATTACAAAAATAATAAAAACAACGTGAGTTTTGGGGAGGAATAAGCTTGCCTGAAATAAAACCTGTTTGACGAGTGTCATTTGCACTGTACTTATGCTTCTAGCCCTGTTAGGATTGGAGACCAGTTAATTTTCTCTTGGGTTTTTGTTTTGGTTTGGTTTTTTCCCCTCTTTTCCTTCATTTTCTCCTTTCCTTTATTTTCCTCTCTTCTCTCTCTCTCTCCCCCTCCCCCCCTTTTTTTTTTCTCTCTCTTTTTTTTTTTTTTTTTTTTTTTTTTTTTTTTTTTCCCTTCTTTCTCTCGTCTCCGCCGTCTCTCCTCTCTCTCCGCCGAGGGCACAGGCAGCTCCCGAGCGCAGTCCCCGCCGTGCGGGGGCGCCCCGCGGCCGCGCGTCCTGCCCGGGCACGGCGGTGGGAGGGCCGCGCCGCGCCTCTTCCACCTGCCCGCGGCTTTAAAGTTGCAGCCGGGCGGGACGCGATGACTCTGGTCTCGCTGCCCGGGCCGGCGGCTGTCGGGGTGCCTCGCGGTCCGTTTCCCACCGTCGCCGTTCCCCGCGGCGGCAGAGCAGAGCAGAGCCGGGGAGGGGGTGGCAGGGGCTGGTGCGCCCGGGAGATGCCCGAGCCCGCGGCGGGTCCCCCGCGCGGCGAGGCCGCCGTGGAACTCGGCGCCTCCGCGCGCCGGCAGCGGCCGGGCGGACGCGGGTAGAGCCGGCGCTGCCGCCGCCTCCGCAGGCCCGTGCCGGGCGAGACATGGAGCCGCCCGACCTCCGGGACGTCGAGCAGAAGCTGGGGCGCAAAGTGCCCGAGAGCCTGGCGCGGCCCCTGCGCGGGGAGGAGCTCCCGGCCCGGCCCGCTGCGGCCCCCGGCCCTCGGCACCGCCGCGCCGCTGCGCTGGCCCGTCTGGAGGCAAAACTTCAGCTCCTGAGGCAGGAGATGGTAAGTAACCGGGCGCCGGCCGCAGCCCTCCCGCATCGCCGCCTCCCGCTCGGCGGCACCCGCGGGGCGGCCGCGATGGGGACGGCGCTGCGCTCCCCCCGGCCCGCAGCGAGAGGAGCTGCTGCCGGCCCCGGGAGCTGCCGCCGACCCGCATCCATCCCCCGGCCGGGCCGGCGGCAGCGGGGGCTGCGGTGCCGGGAGGGCAGGAGGCTGCTCGGCGGAGTGGCGTACAATGAGGAACTTGCCAGCTCTCCCTCGCAGCGTGGCAGTTCACAAGTGACTCGCTGTTGGCTTGTGTTCCTCTGTCAGCTCGTTAGAAGTACTGAAAGCTGGAGTACCGATAAACGAAATAATGCACTATTCTCTCACCTTTGTAAGTGCATTTTCTGCATCGCACCTGTTTCCTGCTGATGACTAATACCTAAAGAGGCACGGGATATTTTTGGGCTGGAAATTTGGCCTGAAATTCAGGGACTTGATTTCTGGACTTCAGAGATTTAATAAGTTCCAAACAGGCTACAGATGATGCACACTAACTCTTGAACAAACAACTATTTATAATTTGGTGGAATGATTTCTCCTTTTTTGCCAGTGGTCTGTGATGGGACTAAGATGTACTTTGGAACTTTTAACTTGTTTACTATCTTAATGCTGGCGCTTTTCCTCCTTTGTAAGCCACCATCTCAATAAATTTATTTTTTGATGATGCCATATCTGACTTAATTTTTTAAGACAAAAAGAATGCTCTTTGCAAGTGAGCCCCTAGTGAACACTCACAGATATGATCTTACCAATGCAGGGTACCTCATATGTGCAGCCATAGTTATCTTCCATTTTTATTAGGGAATAATTGTTATGTGAGGTCCTCAAAGACGCTTTTCAGTAGTGGTTCGTTCCATAGCTCCTGCCACTAAGCTTATTTGAACACAGGATGAAATTTGATCATATTGGGATGAGGATTTTTCTGGCAATGTGTTGAGATAACTTTATGCAAGATTCTTAGAACTCAGCCATTTACAGCGAACAAATCAATCTCATACTGTGTGAACAAGTGTAATGCCATACCTTCAGTCCCTGTGCAACATCAAATATAGATAGATAAGAGTAAAAGGTGTGTGGGTTCATAAGTGTTTTTAAAGAATAAGCACACTAGGCAAAAAGGGGAAGAGAATGGATATTTTGAGAGTTAATAGTCAAGATGGTAATGTTAATCTTGAGGGGTAATTTATAAATCACACTTGCTATTGTAGGGCTTCAGGTTATTTAAGAGATCCACACAAATCAAGGTATCAATGTATTGGAGACCTTTTAGCCACCTTTCAGTATCTAAACAGGGCCAAGAAGAAAGCTGGAGAGGGAATGTTTACAAGGGCATGTACTGATGGGACAAGGGGGAATGGATTTAAAATAAAAGAGGAGAGATTCAGATTAGGTATTAGGAAGGAGTTCTTTATTCAGAGTGTAGTGGGGATCTGGAATAGATTGCCCAGAAAAATTGAGAGTGCTCCATCCATGGCAGTGTTCAAGGCCAGGTTGGACAGAGCTTTCAGCAACCTGTCTTTTGGAAGGTGTCCCTGCCCATGGCAGGGAGATTGGAACTAGATGAAATCTAATATCCCTTCAAATCTAATTCTGTGATTCTATGGTGTTAGTTTAATGATCACTGAGAATTTCAGTTTAACATTGAGTAACACACTGTCAGCATATCTCATGTTTATTTTTTTTTAATTTTAAGCTTCTACAATGATTGTAGAATGACCTGCAGGTAGCTTATAATGTATGGGATGTCAGACTGCAAAGGAAGCAAATAAGGTAGCCAGGGCTCTTGGCATGACTGTCTAGACATATCATGACAATTAGGCCTGTTAAGGGAGGGGGATGCGATTGAGTTGCCCTTGTCACCCTTTCCTTTCAAGTTGGTCTCTTCACCTACTTCCTACTTACAAGTTTCATGTCACAGCCTTCAATTTGCCTCTTCTTCCTCCTGCCACCCACTTTCCCTCTTTTTCCTTCCTGCCCTAAGTGTGAACATGTTTAGTCTCAAAACTCTTGACCTCTGCTGTTCTTTGTCACTTCAGTGACTGACTGACTTTCACATCTGAACTCATTGCTCTTGCTAAGCAAGGAGAATTCAGTTACTCACCTCTTCCCATTTGACTTCTGTTCTGTGTATGCCCATTAAACCACCAATAACATGACTACTTGTGAAATATTACTACCCTGTCTATATTTTTTCATGCTCTTAGCTGTGTTCTGTAATCCAGAGCATGGAAGTGGACTACCTTCCTGGGATTTGTCTCTAGCCTCTAGCATTTTCACTGTTTTTCTCTATCCTAAATGTTTTTTAATCATCTTAATCTGTCACTTTCCCCTCTGCAATTTTCTTTGTGACATTGTACAGATTTGATCAATTTAAGAACAATACCAGTAAAAATTGTGGTTCCTTTCTATGCTTTTTTTCTCTTTTACTGCACATCAGTCAAATCTTCTTATTTAAGACCTCTTATTTATTATTCTTTGGCTTTGCTGCAGGCCTAAGATGCCTTTTACATGTAGAAAAGTAGTTTATAGTTGCTGCAGTAGTAAAAAAATGCAAAAAATGGAAATGACGAGAGGTTTAGAAAACCAAGTGTCGTCCATTAAGCTGTTTTTTTCTGATTATACTATGATTCTGATTATGCAGAATTTGCCAAATTCTGCAGCCCACTCACTGAATTTTGGATAGACCTATCTATGCTTTTTTTGGCTTGCTTTTTTCAGACTTGAGGCAAACTTTTGGTAAGCGTATACAAAACAAGGTTATTCAGTCTCTTCTTTTCTAGTCAAATATGAAAAAATTGACAATATTTGACTTGGAAATCCTGGTTTTGACTGTGAATTACAGTACCTGACAGATCGGTGGTGGGAGGAGGGATGTGGCAACTGTACATCTCCTTGTTAAAGGTCTTGAGGCTTGCAATTGCCCCTTCAGATCCTTTTGCAGTTCACAGCAAATGGTTCTTTTTCCCTCAAGCCTGATTTTGCTGATAGTCATTGGAATCACACATAAAGCACCACAGAGTATCTTTCTAGAAATACAGATCTGCTTGGCCTTACTTCCCTTTCCTTATCCTCCACTTTCCCCAGCAAGGCCACAATGGAGACTGGGGTGGATCCTGAAAACCTTTGAGTTATAAGGCCATAAGGTTACTGGAGTAGCAAGATGTGATTGTCAGTGCAGGTCAAAGCACTGTGCTCCGGTCAGCCTAGAGTGGAATTAAAGCTCCTGATAGCTGATGTGCCCTTGATTCAGTATGAAATTTGTCACAGTGTTACTGTTAAGCTCTTTTTTCCTGTGGTATTTTAGGTGGAATGTACCATGGGGGAATTAATAATAACCCTTTATAGCTTCAACCCTTTTTCTAGTGTACCATGCTCCTGAGGTCACCATTCAACACGTACAACTTCAGCAGCTATGCATTGCAGTAAATAATCAGTGAGGCTTATTCTGCAGCCTGAAATGACACTCTTCAAAAGCCTCAATTCTTCTTCACAAGTTCTGGGGTTAGTTACTCAAAGGGAGATTTTCCTTAACACTTGAAGAAAGAGTTTTTTGGTTTTTTAACTTTAATTCAAAAGTTTCCAAAATCAAATTTTAATGCCTTTTTTGCAAGCTAAAAAGTTAAAAAGTGTAGTCTACATTATACGCAATAAATAAAAAAATATTTTGCATAAAAATATATCAGGCAGAAAAGATACACTGTGGCTTGGAAGAGAGGGGTTGATGGCAGTGCTGGGACTTTTAAATGAGATTCCTTCTGGTGAACACTGTTGAGGATCAAATACTGTTAATGAGTCTGAAAGTCAGTCTGGATATACTGAGTGCAGCAGTTTTTACAGTAAAGGATAAAGAAATTGAGACAATTCTATTTTCAAGGAATGGAGCATGCCAGATTTAGGCTAAACCTATATGAGGTAGAGGCGTATTCCTATGCTTTCTCATTAGTTGAGTTGACTCCCTCTTTTTTTTCCTAGTTCTGTTACTACTTTTTAAAGGCTAATTGTCACCGATCCCTGACAAAATGAAAGAGAAGTAAAAGCATCTTTTCCTGACCAGAATTAAGGCAAATACAATCATTATGGTGCCAGTCCTGCTTGGGGTTTTGTGTTGGTTTTGGTTTGCTTTGTTTTCTTGCATTTTTTGGTGGTTTGGTTTTGTTTTGTTTTGTTCTTTTCACATATCCTTAGCATGTCAATGAAGAAGCAAGTTGGAGGGAAAAGCTATTGTCACTCTGTTCTACCAGCTCTAAAGAATTTGAACAGCACTTCAGATTTATTAGATCCGCAGTTGGGGGTGGTCTACGTTTATTAGTTTCTTTAAAGAAAAAAAGTCAACAACTGTGACTTGAAACATCTCTTTATCACTTGCTGTAGGTACAGGCTGCTACTTTCACTGTTTTGTATGATAACATCAGTTGTCTTAACTGAAGCCAAGATCTGGTTCACTTTGCCTAGTCAGCAATGCAAAACGGTGTATCAGATGCTAGGTTTCTGTTAAATTAATTCGAATTTTTTCTTAAAATCTTGACTGAAGATAAAATCTTAAATATAAAATTACTAGTGGCTAAGCCTCAAGCCTGTGTAGGACAGTTTGATTAACCTTCATTTATTGGTGAGCAGTTATTCAGTGAGGCTCCTAGAAAGACACACAGAAACAGAAATTAACTTATTTCCCCAGGTCCTCCTGAAGTTCACTGAAAAAGGTGGTAATCCTGGATCTTGCTGGCAAGTTCTCTCCATACCCTCCAACTCGCATGATGTAGTAAAGGAGTTTGTAATTTTTTACATATAATGCAAAGTGGGTAACGATACCAAGATACTCATGCTAAAAGACATTTGCAGATTGATCCTTAGGGAAAATGGTCAAATTTAGAAGGAAAAAATTGCAACCTAAAGGTAGTGCCAGAACTTTGCCAGGTTTTCCCCCTTTTCAGATCGTCTCTGGAATGATGAGCTGAGCA